CACACCACCCTTGCAACAAATTTTTTTTTTTCTTTCTTTTCTATAATTTCAACTTCATAAGTCACCTCATTACAGACAACACCCATTATTTATGATTAATTATAACATTGTGTTGTTAGGTGGCAATATGGTGTTGGAGCAGGTATACTTGAATTTTAAGAGGTGATTTACATAGGTATATGGATGTATGTATAGATTAGGAGTGAGATAGAATTCAAAATGTTTGAAAGCAAATTGAATTTTCGTCATGGACTAGTGGTGATTGTTAAAAAGGGAGGCCCATGTCACAAGATTTGTTTTTAGGGGGTTAGAGTAATTTTTAAAATTTAAGGAAGGTTCGGTAATTATGACAAACTTTAAGAAAAATTAATATAATTTTTATTTTATAGAAGAAAAGGAAAAAATTATTTTTTTATAAAATCTAGTATCGAAAACAAAACAATATAAGTGTCTTTGAGCACAATATGAGGGAGTGGTAAAAGGAATAAATGCCAAATGGTCTTTCCAGAACCCAAGGGAAGTCTGTGTAATTTGCCCATATGTATATATATACTAGTGTAATCCACGTGCGATGCACGTGATAAAATAAACATTTTATATTATAAATGAATTTTAGATAAATTTTTTAAAAAATAATTAAAAAATTAATTTGGATAATTCACAATATGTATATGTATCTGTATATTAACTCTATGAATCACAAGTAAATATTAACTTCATAAATCTAGAGAAAATATGTTAAGTAATAAATAAAAAACTAGAAGAAAAAAAAAGAGTTGGAAAGAAAGAAAGAAACAAACACCTCAAAATATACCATTTATATTCTTGGTTGCTCTTAGCTCAAGATTAAGCATATATTCATTTGATTGGATTGGATGCAGATGATTTCCAAATCAAAAGAAGACATTTTGAGATAGAAGTACACACTTTCTCAATTATAATTTATAGCAAGAAATGACATTTAACAAAAATATATTTAAATGATGAGAAAATATATGTATGCAATCATATGTGGAAAAGAGCTGGTATAACAAGTTCATTATACTTTAGAACTAGAATAAAGAGATAGGAATTAAAAGTTTGACCTCAAAATTCCCACAAAATAGAAAAAATCTACAATGAAACAAACAAAAAACAAACAAAAATATTGAATTTGAAAACAAGAAATTTAGAATTATAATTACCTGATAAACTAAAGATGTTAAAAGGAAAGAAGCGATCGTGATAGAAAGAAAGTTGATTAGAACAAAGATTGAAGAATAAATTGCGAGTCTTGAGTTTCAAGTTAAAACATATAAACTCCATTTTTCTGGTTTTCCTTTGCATGTTAAATATACTTATTTCAATGATATTCAAATGGCTATTTATAACTTTATTAAGTGCGTATTCCAAAAGCTTAAACTCAACTAATGAAATTATAACATATTTATAATTCATTAAAATTTTATTTTTGTATTTAAAAATAAAATAAAATAGTGTATATATATATATATGCACACACACGATATGGTAATAGATTAATAGGAACCAATATCTCATTGTTTCTCCATAAAAAAAAAAGGGGTTAATTACAATGACACCCCCTGAGATTTGCCTTAATTACAGCCATATACAAGTTAACCTCTTTTTGAACAATGAGACCCCTTCAGATTTCATAAACTTAACAAAGACACTCCTGCCAGGTCTGACACAAGTTAAAATGACGTTATTACCCTTTAGCTTTTGAATTACCCTAATTTTTTAATTAAAATAAGAAAATGTATCAAAAGGCCATTTTAGGACAAAAATACCCTCATCTTCCCTATCTCTCTCCACCCACAATCCAAAATCAATATCCAATCAGTCCCTTTACAACTTCCATTGAATTTGAATTTATCTTCATTGATTCAAGGCTCATCATTTCAGATACTAAATTCACCGGAACTGTCCTTGTCGAGCTCGATGACTTACATTCACTCACTCTTAACAATTCATCCATATCAAACGATTAGTTAATAAAGTCTAAACTCTATCATTTCAACGAGAAACCCATATACTTCTGCAACTCTCTCTCTCTCGGGCTCCAGCAACGGTGACGATGCTCTGGCAACATTGAGTAGCAGTGGTGTTGGCATGATGGTGAAGCGATTTTGACGTCGACCAGATCTTGTTTGGCGACTAGCAGCGACGTGTGGTGATGCAATTCCAACGTAGACAAAGCGACGAGATCATGGCGACACAGAACAGACATGGTGGTGAGAATCCTATGATGGCGACGATCAAGGAAGATTCTCCCATTCTCTTTTTTTGCATTTTCTTGCTTTAGATCCTTATGCTAAATGCTCTCCACACATAAATTATACCTCTATGATCACATGTTTATCTCAATAAACCCACTTTAGCTTTCACCTCTCTAGAACCCCAACCATTACCTCCATTATAAACACAAGATTCGCATAACAAGTAACAATTGAATCCAAAATTACCGAAACGGGCTTATCGCTTTCAATCATTCACTCAATAACTTAATTTGTATGCGTAAATAAATACAAATTGTAGAGTAAAATCGCAAGAATTAAGGGATACCCATTTAGAGACGAGACCAATCGAAGAAACCCATGAGGCATTTGGGGTCACACACCTAGTTTTGGTGAAGAACGTATCAAACCAAACTTGGGTTTAACTTGCTAGGCAGGTTTGTTAATTCTACGAAGAATTCCTAATTGTCATACTTGAGAATTCCCCTACTGCGACTTCCTTCTCATTGGAGTTCTATGAGCTAGCTGTGGAATGATTTCGCAAAAACATGCCTTGATCTTGAGAAAATGCATCCAACGAGATGACATGAGAGGTTCATCGAGAGCTCGAGGAGACCACCTATGCGGGCAATCGGGATGATCGTTTTCATCAGATCAACGACCATGATCTCTTCAACACCAAAGCCATGATCACCTTGGCCAAGACGTCAAGATCATCGCTGCCAATTTGATCGTCGACGATGGTCGGTGGTGCTGGTCGTCGTTGTAAGTCAGTCGGATTTCGAGAGGGTTTGTCATGATCTAAGGGTAAGGGTATAAAGAGATTTTGTCGGTTGAAAATAAGGCTAGGGTTACATAAGAGAGGTGAGATCTGCAAGGGTTAAGAGAGTGATGACAAAGGAGTTGAAAGGTTAGAGAGAGAAACGATAGAGAGAGTTGTGGTGGTTGGGTTTTCTAAGATGGGCATTTTAGTCATTTTACGATTCTAATATTTTCTCATCATATATTAATTAAATATTGAAGGGCAATGTAGACATTTCGCTGCCAAAATTTGATATAAAACTAAGAAGGGGTGTCATTGTTCAAAAAAACACTAAGTTATATATGGCTGTAATTAAGGTAAATCTCGGGGGGTGTCATTGTAATTAACCCAAAAAAAAAAAAAAGGGTAAAGTACATTGACACCCTCTGAGGTTTGAGGAAAGGACAAGCAGAGGAAAGTTAGCCTGTTTTTGGACAATGACACCCCTTCAAGTTTGAAAAATGGACAAAGAGACCCTGAAGATGGTGAATTGACCTTATTACCCTTTCAAATAAAATTAACATTTTAATTGACTTAAATACCCTTTGATTGAACCCAAACCCAAACCCAAACCCGAACCAGCCTTATACAGTTCACCAGAGGAGAGAGAAGGGAGATCAGATGGATGGTGGTTGTGGCTGCGGTTGTAGTGGTGGGTGTAGAGAGAGGGGGAAGAGAGGGGAGGCCTTAGTTGAAGAGATGAGGTGAAAAGGAGAGAGAGAGAGGAAGAAGATAGGAGAGAGTTTGTGGTGATGGCTGCGACAGTGGGGGTGGCGGCGGCGATGACTGCGACAGTGGCGGCGAAACCCAGAAGCATCGGCGAAAGAAATTGCCGACGAAACCCAGAAGCATCTGTATGTGTATATACACACACTGCATATACTGCCACTGCCATCAACATCACCCCTCCGCCGTCGCCAACATCACACCTCAAACTCCGCCACCGCCGTCACATCATCACACCTCAGCCGTCGGGGTTCACCCTTCACGCTCATCATCATCACACCTTCACGCGCTCCTTCTTCAGCGATGTTTTTTCGAAGCTCACCATCTGTCGCTGGGGTTCACCACCTCCTTCATGAAACCCTTGTAAGTTACAGACGAGGTTGTGGTGTTCACCATCTGCCGCCGGTGCTCACCACCTCAATTTCTCGGCCTTAGAAACCGACCGAAGCCACATTTGCTAACCCTTGCTCCAGCTTCACCTCCTACCAACAACGGCCACATCTACAAGCTTTCTCTCACATACAGAGCTCACAGCAACCCTTATCGGCGGTGAAACCACCGATTTCATCCTCAACTGTCCACATCATCCAGATCTAAAGATGACGGAACCAATTGTAGAGTCAAGCCAAACGCCCCTCCTTCAGCAATCACTCCATACTCAAAGCTTCGCTCTACACTCAAACATCAACTCTCTGCCGCCGTCAAGAATCAAAGACGCCGGCGTAGGGAATATGTCTCTGTCAATCCTTGATCTGTCCGCTTCACGCCAGAAACTTGCGGCGGCGGCTGAGGAGTTATTTGAGGGGTTCTTGGAGGATGAAGGTGTCGGTGAAAGGAGTAACCAACATGTGAATGAAGGAAATGGTGAACCACTCGTCGACCGGTGGTTAGAGGGTGTGGAAGTGGTGTCATGGCCGGGTCTGGGTTTGATAGGTTTACAATATACATATAGATATATAAATATATATATATATATATATATATGTATGTATTGGTGTAATAAATGTATAAGGGTAAAAGAGTCATTTAAAAATTTTGATATTTTATAATTTAAATTAATAAAATATTAAAGGGCAATCTTGACTTTTTACAAAATTTAAGGAGCGGTTTGAATCAAGTTTTTGATCAGGGGATGTGATTGTCCAAAAATAGACTAACTTGTATCTACTTGTCTTTGTGCCAAACCTCGTGGGGGTGTTTGTGTACTTTACCAAAAAAAAAATATATATATATCTCATCGCTTCATAGTACAGCCGTTCTAGAGATTACCAAAAACCCTCACTCTCTCATCCCTCACGGCCTGCCACCGAAGCCGGCTTCGTCAACCTCACCGACCACCCACTGGTTTTACGGCCTACGGTCAGTTCTCTCTCTTTTTCTTTTTTTCTTCAAAGTTAAAGATCCATTGCTGTTCGTGGTATACCCAAAGTACAACTTAGTGAACTTGCTGCGTGTGGTATACATAAAGTAAAACTTAGTGAACTTACTCTGTGGGTGGACAGTGGCTGTCTATATATTATATGTCTAATGTGCGTATAGATTTACACCATTTTATTACTTGAAAAATGGGTAAATCTTTATTTTACATTACAGATGGTGATATTTGTGTTTGATTATGATTTAAGGGTTCAATTCGAACAGAATATACATCCGATCTTATGAAATTTCTTTATCTTTTACACAGATCTAATGATTCTGATCTCATAAAATTACTTTAACAGAACACATATAATTTTTTATTTTTACAGTAGTTCATTTATCATTTAAGCTCACAGAACGCCTACTTGATCATTCATTTTGATTATATGTTAGTGTCTCAGTAAATTGATGATCATTCATTTTGATTATATGTTAGTGTATCAGTAAATTGAAACTTAAATGGGGCGGGGCAGTGAAACTTAAATGGGACGGTGAGGGGGGTTTTGCTAAACAGTTTTTGGTGGGGAGACTTAAACCGGAGGGGGAAGGTACTCATGCCCCCTTTGCCATCCCTATGTACGTTGTAATTAATCAAGAAGAAGAAAGGTAGTAGTAAGAGCACTCTCTCTATTAGTTTCACTTGGTAATAACCAACTAATTACCCATCAAATATCGAAATTTCAGTGAGGTCACTTAGCTTTCCATAGTAAATATAGCTAGGGGTGCAAATTGGGTGGGCCCAATTCGGACAAACTCGAGCCTAGTTCCAAAGTTTTTGGGCGGGCTGTTTAACTTGCAATTTGGTTCGAGCTTGGTTTGAAAAGTAACAACCCCATTTCATTTTGATTGGAGCTCGAGTTACTGTGTGGATCAATTCGAAACCTAACCTGAGGCGGTCCTGAACTATATTTAAACCCGACTTATCAACCCCAACAATGAATCAGATATATACTGTAAAGCTGACCTCCCCGCCTTGAAGGGGACGATTTCTCCTCCAAATTTTTTTGTTGGAAAAAATAACCTCATTAGAGCATGTCAGCTCATAAAAGGTGGCTATTTATGTTATTTCAAAACTTACATCCCCAGCTTCTATTTCACGTGCCTCTCCCCCAAGAGCGATCGACCTTGTGCACCAGGTGGGTTTCTTTGCTCCCACTACACCACAACCACCAGATCGAACCTAGTCCCCCACACCCATATTGGTGTCCCCTTTGGTCTCTGATATCTCTTCGTTGGGCAGTATTCTTTATTTTTTTCCCAAAATTATATGATTGTTGTGCTGAAATTTTATGAGCACCACTGCCACTAGATCGAAACTAGTCCGCCACACCCATATCGGCATTCCTTTGGTCTCTGATATCTCTTCGTTGGCCTATATTTGTTTCAAATTTTTTTCCGAAATTGTATGATTATTGTGCATAAGTTTTATGCCCTTGACTACATTGGAACAATTTGCATTTCATCTCTGTTGGAAATATTTGTGCTTTTGGATTCAGATATTCTCTACCTAGTTTGATTTGGTATAGATCTGATTCTAGCAAATACATAGCGTCGGCTTATGTAGCCTTAACAGGCGCGAGTAGTAGGGATTAAGTTTGTCTTGTTTCATATGTTTTGTTTTGTTTTGTTTTTTTTTTTTTTTCCTTCGCAAACTAGGTGGAGTGGGGATTTGAACTCGGGCGTACCTGCTCGAGGAGCTGGGTGCTCTATCAACTAGGCCAGTAATGCCCTCTTGTTTCGTATGCGAGCTTTTATGTTTTTTATACACAAGTGCATAAACCATTTTGTGTATCCGATGAATGTTGGGATTCCATTCTCAAGTAGTTATTTTGCACTATAAACTAAATTGAAGTACGGTATATAATTATTTGATTGCCTCCCCATTGTGATTTAGTTGTTTATTTGAAAAACTTTCAATCAATTATGTTTTTTTTCCTTCTGAAGGTTATTCTTATATTGGAGCGCCTTTTAAGGAGGTCAGAATTCAGAGCAGATACTGTAATTGGGGCAAGGATGTCTGAGGTGTCTACTTAAACTTGAATACATTCACATTCCCTTTTCATGCACTTGGATCCTCACCTATAATATCCTTTGCTGTGCTGATGGTTTTTCAACATATTACATCTGCTTTTCAACTGTGATTTTTCAACTTATTACATCTGTTTCTCAACGCAATAAAAATAAGTAGATGTAAATATGTTGAAAGCAGGTGTAATTGTGTTGAAAAACCCTATGGCACCACTACAGCAAGGGAGATTACAGCAGAAGATCGGGGCTCCCTTTTTCGTAGTTATATTACTGTTCGTGCAATTATTTTAATGATATGCGCTATTATCTTATTGTGGTCATCTTCACGTGTTGATGTTAGTGTTGTTCAAATAATGACAGGTTGGATATGCTCATCTAAAGGAAGAAATTGGTCATGATGTCATAGCAACATTGGCAGAGATTCTTTGTTATGATGACAAACCTCTATTTCTCTCTTTTATGAAGGAGCTATTTCAAAGAAAAGTACCAAAAACAGAAGAAGTTAGAAAGAAGGAATCATCTGATTATCAAGCTAAATATTGCCCACCAAAAATTTTGCATGGAATTTGTAAGTCTGGCGTAATAGATTGTGCCATCGCTTTTCTCGGAGGGGAGACCGGTTTCATCGCTGATCTCAATATTCCCTTTAACGATGGATTATATCCATTGCATTTAGCAGCTAATGGTTTATCATATGAAATGATTGCGACATTGCTTAGCCATGGAGCTCAGACTGATGTCAGAACCATAGAGGGTAAATTTAGGGGCGACTTGTTTCCTCTCAATGTATCACTTGAAACAGTAAGGTAGAAGACAGATATTATAATATAAAATTATTCTTTCTTATTTCTTTCATGGGGCCTATAATATGAACTTAGATCAAGGTTTAATACATCATTCTTAACTACTTAATTCTTTTCCCTTTTTTTTGATTGGATTTTTAATGTGGCTGATGCAATTATCATCGATCCTTGATTGATTGGACCCCAAAACAATCTATCTTCAAATTGATCGTTGTTCTTTGTCTGCCTCAAATGGTTTGTTTAGACAAAATTTATGTGTATTACAAATAGTGTTTACTTTCTATACATTTGAATGGGTTGAGATGTCTGATCTTTTTCTTTTTTTTTTTTTGTTGCTTAATATGGTTAAATATGGCAGAAAGTACCATTAGAAATTAATAGGTTGCTGGCATGGAACACAAAGGAGGTTGATAAAATATTTATTCATTATGCTATGGAGGGAGAACTTATTGAGATGGCTACTCTACTGATGGTTGCTCGAGAAAAGTTAATCCCTTTGAGCATGTCAATACGCAAAAGCATCATTGAAGAGATTGTAGGACTAACTGAAGATGAAATCAAATTGATCGGAAGTCACAAGAATGATAAGTTGGTTGAAGAGATTGTAGGACTAACTCAAGATGAAAGCAAGTTGCTCGGAATTAATAAGATTGGTAAGTTGGTTCGGTCGCTTAACGATATTAAGGCAGCGATGACGCGGGGAATATTGTTGCTCAAAGTGTTTGAGAAGGCTGGTGTTGCTCTTGAAAAATACAGGCAGTTAGTACAGAGTGAAGTAAGTTGTTATGATCCGTGTTTTTTATGGTTTTTGTGCTTGTTTCTTGCGATTTATTGTAATTCTCATATTGTTTGCAACATGCATAGATTTAAACTTTTTTTCTTTTCTTCCAGAAATTGTGTAGAGATTTATCTGGTTATGATATTTATACCTATTAAAAATTACACTGACCCCCATGTGGTTTGCCTTTGTCACCCAGATAGAACTTGGCAATGTTTTTGAAAGTCACACCTCCCGTTAGCTTTTCCACATAAAAAATGTGTGAAATGTCTAATTTGCCCTAATTTTTTAATGCTTTTTTATTATAAAAAATAGAGAAACCAAAAGACTACTTTGCCCCTAAAACCAAAAGACCCATTTTTAATGCTTTTCTCACATTTTCAGCTTACCCCACCACCGACCATTTCCAACACCACCCACCATCGCCACCCACCACCACCTGCCCCTTCCTTTTCTCTCTCCCCACTCACCACCGCAACCTTCACCCCACTACCACCATTAAAACAAGCTTCGCATCAATCACATACCAACCCGAACCCCAACTCAGTTGAGTCCAACTCGTCCGCCATTGAAGCCTTGCTCGACCTCGAAACCGAGGCAGACAAAAATACCCCTATACACCTCAGTTATGTCTCTCTCTCCTCCACCACCACAATCAGCTGTCACATCCCTCTCTACACATTTCAATTGGGACACTCTCTCCTCCACCCTTCCTCTCTCTCTCACTCTCTCTTTCAATAGTCCACCTCCACCACTCCAACCACCCACCTCCATCACTCCCTTTGCCATACTCCACCACTCTAACCACCCAACCACTACACACCTCTGAAACCCTAGCCTATACCACTATTGACAACTCAATTACTTAGAATCTGTGATGTTGTGGCCTGAGTTTGGTTCTGGGGTCACAACTACGCCCCGTTTAGTACCCTCTTGTAGCCCGATATATAATGGGCGTTTAGGGTTTGGAGTGGGATATAGATAGACATTGAAAATTGTAGAAAATAGAGCGAGAGCGAGAGCTAGGGTTTGGGGGTTGAAACTTGTACCTACCAGATTTTTGCATAGCGAATGCTTTCGCCAGAATTTCATTGTGGATGTAGGCTTTGGCAAGCCACGTCTGCCCGTGCTTTGTGATTGTTGCTTGGTTGTGATTGGTTTATGGTTTTGATGGTGAAGATGGCGTCAATTTTTGGAGAATTTTTGTTTCTTTCGTGTTTTGGTTGTGATTATGGTGAAGATGGTGTCATTTTTTAGAGAACTTTTTTTTTTCCTCATAAATGGAGGAAATTTTTATAAATATAAACATTATGGAGAGAACTTTTCGTTTCTAGATAAGGGAAGGCATAGAGAGGTTTTAGAGAAGGTGTTTGGTGGAATGAAATTGATGAAATTGCATGACTTGCCTTCATTGGTTCATTAGTTATTTGTTTTGTCAGTGAAGGGGTTATATGGGGCCATCTTGAATGGTGAAGACTTCAATTGGGGGTGATTGAGGGTGGTCTGGACCTTGATGGTTCGACCATGGAGTAGTGGTTGCAGAGGATTGCAATGCATGTGTTTTAGAGAGAGAAGGAAGAGAAGAAAGAAGAGGTGGTGGCTGTGGGTGGGGGTGGGGGTGGTGGTGGTGGCAGCATTGTGGGTAGGTGGTTGAGATGAAGAGGTTATTTTGGACATTTAAAATTAGTTAGAATGGGTTAATTGGTAATTTAACTATTCAAAGTGTCACTTCACTAGTAAAAGGGCATTCAGGTCATTTTACCATGTGCGAGAGCGTTCATGGAGTGTCTTTGTCTAATGGAGCGAATCTGAGGAGGTGTCACTATGAAAGAATTGGGTGTCAAAGAGGCAAACCACAGGGGTGTTGTGAATGCTAGTTGTTTTTCCTTTTGAATGAAAATGGTCATCTTTCAACTCGTATTACTACCAGTTTCCTCATGTTTTAAGCTTTGACCCAACACTTCCACAAAGTTACTCCCTTAATGTTTTCTTATAGATGCCAAAAGAAAAGGTGGTCAACGACATTAAGGCGCTGCTTGAGAGAGCCGGGTTTGTTATAAACGACAAAGATGTTGATTTAAGTGACATTGACTGGTTTGGCACCTAATTACTTTGTTCAGTTGATCAGTGAAAATTTTGTATCTTCTTATCTCTCTTTCTTTAGGTGATTTGATTGTGAATAAGCTTTAGTATTCTAATGCATGTTTATTTTTTCGTGACATTAAAATGCCATAGTGAAAGTGAAAGTATCAAAGAGGCAACGGAAGAATTAGGTGATTGGTTGATTTCCACTTCAACTGACTCATGCTTCAAAGGAATTTTCCAGAAAAAACCCATTAAACTAGTCTGATTTTGTTATGTTTTGTTTTACACAGAAGAGAGTTTAACATTGAGGTCTTATTCAAAGGATCTCTGGATGCCACCTCCCTCACTGTCTAACAGTTTTTCCAAGGAAAAGGTAAGAGACATAGATAGTAGTTTGTCCTTGCTGATGTTTTTCTCATTAGGAATGGTAAATTCTTGCTTCACATATTTTGAAGTATAAATTTTAATCTTTTGGTGTGCTGTTAAGAATTATATTCATGAATACTTGAGCAACTCATATCTCTCCCATCCGCTTATCATTCCTCCCGACCTAGCAAACACTCATTTTTGGTGTTTCTCATATCCGAGGTTGATGCTACTATATTATCAGCTTTTTTATGTGGCATTTGAGGATCACCTATGTGTGGTTGGTTATATGATGCATTGATTCTACCTACATAGGTTCTTAGCACTGGAGGTTTGGAAAATGCGGGTGATGATCTCGTGGCTTATCTTTTTCTTGCCCATTCCCAAAAACTATGGTTGGGTTGATTGGAAAAATTCCAAATGTTTTTGCTGCCTCTCTCTACTCTTCTTCTTCCCTCTATTCATCTTATATTGAATTATTCTCTTTCTTCCCGTATGTTCAATTGGGTTTTGGAAGTGTCTTATGTGGCCATTTGCATAGTCCTGACTATTCCAGGCTCTCATTACAATATTATTGAAATCTACTCTTTACTTTCATACTTTTACGTACTTTTCTGCATCCTCTATCATATCCCTTTTTTTTAGTCTATCAAAGCATGAAGCTTTCAAGGCTAGAGGTGCATTTTACATAATCTCAGATTTGGTCTTGTGTCTATTAAGAGCCGTTCCACGATATTCTCCACAATTTTTTATTTATACCCCAAAAAATTGTTCTTAATAATCTGAATCTAGGTAACCTTAGGGTTGCATTACTTCATTAGTGCGGAAAAGTTTTTGTATCTACAATCTAGCAATCGATCACTTCCCAAACCAAACTAATTCTGACCCCTTTCATCTATAAACCATATACATGTTCCTCTACCTTTCAGGGCGATGGTTCTATATGATTTTGTTGATAAAAGAACACCAGAAAATTATTTGTATGTAGCATATTACTAAGTCTACTGAGTCAGCCAACATCATGAGTTCAATATTGATAGGTCTTTTAATGCGTCATCCCACCACTGGAAATCAAACGAAATGCTTGGGTTTTCAGAGGCAAGATCTCCTCGCTGAACCATGTTTTGGACCAAATCTGTTCCTCCATCATAGAGAGGCTCATGGGTGGGTTTTTGAAAGATTCACCCCAATCTTGTCGTGTTTTGCTCATCTGGGGTATCTCCCCCTCCTCCTGCCATCCTCCAAGGAAGCCTCTTGACTTGAGATCGGCTTGAGAATTGTTACTGGGCTTGGGTTTATTTTGGCTTTTTTTGTATCGTATTCCCATTTATAAGTGGTGGTTTCTAATTGGGCCTGGTCTCTCACTTAGAGATCTTATCCGGTGGACTTGTCCACTTTTTTCATTTTATTGTTTTATACAATTTGCTTGAAATTCTGGAAAAAGATATATGTATAACTTCTACAATTAGCAAATTTCTTTGGCTATATATGAGCACCAAAAGTCACGTGTTTTGTTTTCCTTCCAACCTCATTTAATCCAAAGGTTCTATGTGTGATAGCCTGTTGACAACAATTGAATGTCAAACATTAAATTAGTAAGACTCACTTTTAGAGAAATTTTTGTAACCTTGTCTACTTGTAATTCTTGTTTCATTAAATGTATATTTTTTCTTTTTCTTTTTTGGGATAAAGAAGTAGCAAGTCGGGGATGTTGAGGATGTCTTTCTTCCATTTTTTTATTATTTCAACAATATTACCAATTAAATCCTTACGACAGTGGAATGCCAAACTATCAATGAGTTGGACTCACTTTTAGAGAAATATTGGTACCCTTGTATGTGTACTTGTAATTTTTGTTTCATTAATTTTTTTTTTTCTTGGATAAAGAAGTAACAAAGTGGGAATGTTGATCAACATTAAAAGTGTGCCTAGTATCCAAAAAAGCCCCAGGCTTGTCAAGGCTCAGTTAAGAGTGCTTCGACCTACTAAAGGCCAAGCCCAAGCCCCCAGACTCTCTCATTTTACGTCCTTTATTTAATGACCATTAAATTAAAATGTTTTGTATAATATCACGATCATATTTAATGGATCATATTGTTTGACTTTATGATATATTTGACAAATTCATAGATTTATGGTTGACTTATTACATTAATTGCATTCATTTTGATTCTAAATAAACATGATTGTATATGTTTAATGTCTACTTGATCATAGCTTTTTATTGTTTTACGTTTGTAATCACATCTAATTTACTAAATTTATATGCCTAAGAAATGATTTATGCAACATCAGTTTACCAGATCCTCTTAGCTTGATAGGTCAAAAATCCCATTTTTATAGAATTATTATTTTGATATGATTTTTGCACATCATTGAAATGTTGGAATGATTTCTTTATTTTGATATTGACTAGTATGTGTTGCATAGTTCAATAATTTTTATTAAATTAATCTTTAATATGCTTCTTTATCATACATGCGCCTTTTATCAGTCTCTTGCCTTGTATTGTGCCTTGCGCTTGGGCTCCAGGAGACCTTTGGCGCTTTAGTGTATACCTTGAGCCTTAACAAGTATGCTTTTTGTGTATTTTTGAACAGAGTTCGGTCATATATAAAACTTTTAGAACATTCATCGAATATGGGCCCCTTGTTTTTACACCTTCGTCACGGTCATACGTTACATTCCCGCTCATGGATAAAAAGACAAATCGTGTTGCTATAAGTGTTAACTTTTCGAGAACCCCTAGACCCCCAGCAATGATAGTATCTGCGGCATATCTTCTATCAAGAAATCAGTTTGCCTCCTTGGCATTAGCAATCAAGAAGAGGTTAACTTGCATATGATTGGCAAATAAGGTACTGATTGCTTTTCCTGCATTTTGAATTTTTGTCTATTCATTTCAAATTTATTCCTTGAGTTTCATTTGTTGATCAATATTGTATGATCGACAACTCAACTTTGGCATATCCTCTTGCCCTATCTTCAGCTTTTACAAATAATTACCTCTACAATATGTTTTGATTTTGATTTGATTAGTGTGCATGTGGAATTTTTGGTGATTGAATTATTACCTGTTTGGATTGAATCTTTATGGATAATGAAAATTATATTGTCTTACTGTAGTCAATGGACTCATGATTGCACTGCGGTTGACTTGGCCACTTTTTGAATTGTAAATGGAAGCTGTTATAAGAGCACTAAAGGCCGTGCATTTTCTTAAGAAGCAAAGCTGGGAGGCTTATGCAAGTGACAAATAAAATACAGAAGATCTTCTACTCATGATGCCTTGTTTTATAGTTGTTATTTTATTATTTATTTGAGTTCTAATCTCTCAACTTTGGCTGAGAGCCTGAGAGGAAAGCCTTCGTAAGTTAGTCTTGTAACTCTATGTTTTCAATTTTTAAATTTGTTTGATGTTCATACTAACTGAATAAAATATTTAAACAATTTTAAATGCATGTTCCAGTTTGTTAATTTCATGTACTTAACCATAGACTACAATTGATTGTATTTGGGGTCTAGCATAAAGGTTACTTATATATAATCATGAATTAGTAATTTTCATTGGACTATTTGAGAAAAAAATAATAAATTATGACATTTTATGCCTAAGTAAGGATGAATGATTGAAATTTATGTATTTTTCGTCAATTAATTATTTATGATTTATGACCAAGATAATAAATAGGAGGAACAAATTCTGACATTTTATGCCTCGATACTAAAAAATAATAAATTATGACATTTTATGCCTTGATACTTATTTTCATATCTTATTATTAATTGTATTGTTACTTTAGCTTGAATCACTCAATTTTTGGTAGAATTTGTTAAGTATTAATTTTAGATTATGGGTGTCCTAATCAATTCCTTTTGGAAACAATCTTGTAAGGGAGATGATAATTGCACTTCACTTTTCTGCGAGGTTTCTGTAATATCAAAGATCGCTAGGGCTTTGTTCGGTCCAATGGAAAATGAATGAAATGAAAACATTAGTTAAATGAGAAAAAAAAAAAAATAATAATAAATAAAAGAACGGATAATAATCATGTGTCCTATATAATGAATTTATTATCGTACTTGTAAAATGCAGGTGCAATGTTGGTCGAGTGTAATATAATTCAACCAAAATAAAATAAAATAAAATGAAAGAAAAATACAATATTGTAATTAAAAATATAAAATTTTCTTAATAATATTATTATATAAGATAATAAGATTATATAATTATATATTTGATTGGTACCCTAAATTGAATTAAAATAAAAATCTATTATTAATATTTATTTTGACAAATTAAGGAGTGTCAATGTTTACAATAGTAAGGGAATAAGCTTAAAAATTGAATAAGTGTGATTTTATTATAGATTTAAATCACTTGGGTTTGCGTATGCCTATTAAGATTTAAATTATTTGGGTTTGGTATAAGCTTACAAATTAAGGAGATGCCTACAAAAAGTGCACAGGCATCTACCCAAACTCACGGGTAGCCCCTATTACCACAACAACAGTGTGCAGGCATCTCCTGTCACACCCAATCTCATAGGTATCCCCTGTTACAGAACTAACAGGTATCCCCCGTTACATGGTCACAGGTAATTCTCGTTACTGCACCAGACTCACAGGTATTCCCCGTTACGACATAACACGACTCACAGCTAACTCCCGTTACAACACAACACGACGCACTGACGACAACATGACAAGACGCACATATAATAATGCGACATAACTCCCAGATAACTATAAGACACGACTCAGACAATAATGCAACACGACTCACAGACAACCGTGCAACACGACTCACAGGTTTCCCCTGTTACAACACGACATGACTCACAGGTGTCCTCCGTTATAACACAACACGACTCACAAGTAGCCCCCGTTACAACACGACACGACTCACAAGTAGCCCTCATTACAAAACTCACAGGTATCCCCTTTACATAGTCACAGGTAACCCCCCGTTACATCACAGTCACAGGTCGCCCTCGTTACATCACAGTCACAGGTAACCCCCCGTTACATCATAATCAATCACAGTAATATCTCATCTCCTCTGTGGACAATCCCTCTTCATGTGGCCCGGCTGACCACATAGAAAACAAACTCCGAAACTAGGTCTATCAAGAGGACACTCTGCCTTGCTGTGTCTTGGCTGTCTACATTGATAACACATCACACTCGTCCTAAAGGACCTTGAAGAAACACCAACAATAGGAGTAACACCTGTCGTTTGCTGCTCCTGAGAAAATAATGAAGCACCTCTGTGCCTTTTCCTGTCCTGGCTCTTGGAAGAAGTACCCACATTTGTACCTCGTTCCTAAGAACCCACAATACCACTCATTTCTTGCCAATCTTTGGCTTCTGTTTCTGCCATCAGCTCGTAACCACTTCCGAATAATTCTTTAATCCCAAAAGTGTCACCCCCGGTCTAATTAAACGATTTAGACCGTATATAAACTGCCATGTCTTCTTATTTTCGATCCCTAACACATCTGTAGCGAAACGTGAAAGAGAAGTGAACTTATTCTCATACTCTGTCACTACCATGTCACCTTGTTCAAGCCCGTCAAACTGCGTCCTCAATTCCCGTCTTTTAGTCTGCGGGAAATACTTATCAAAGAAAAGACTCTTGAATGCATCCCAACTCATACTGTCAATATCATGCGCGCTAGTCATGGTCTTCCACCATACTGCCGTGTTGCCAACAAACTTATACGTGGCTGGGGTGATCTTCAACTGATCATCGGGCACGGCTATTGCCCTGAAATGCTTTTCAACTTCATTTAACCAATCGTTCGCTACCAACGGATCTGGACCTCCCTCAAATGCTACTCTCATGAGTTTGTCAAACTGAATCAGGTACCTAAGATTCTGCTTCGTCTCCGTCTCCTATGGCTGAATAGCCGATTGTGGTACCACTTGAGGAGATGTGGTATTCGCTAAATTCTGAAAGGTTGAGGCTACAGCCCCTGCTAATAAGATATCATCCACCGGTACTTGTGGATTATCATCCATCTCTCTATCTCGACCCTGTCCTATTGAAACCCTGTCTGGTTAGGATGGCCCTTCACTTGCTCGCTGTCCAACTTCATCTGGATCCATCTCACTACGTCGTCCTCAAACACGGTTCTACAAAGACAACTAAACGATCAAAACAAGAATACATGAAGTAACTCAATCCACGAGCTATGGTGCTCACATTATCCGTTCGATAAGAACTAAAACGTTCAGAAACATAGGAATGACTAAGCTCTCCATATACGCGGGTTAGAACCCTTCGTAACCCAACACACAGCACCGCCACGAACATTCAAACCCATCAACAATGAAACGCATTAGTCATACGTACATCTACTAAGCAAGGACTCAATAAATAGTAGACAATTAAGCACTTAATAATTATAGTCATGAAATACACATACTAACATTTAAACATATATGTATATAGCAATTAAGCATGCTTTAAACAGATTTAACCATTTCATTAATCATACAAAAAATTTCACATAAGCATCTAGCAAATAGGCATGTTTTCACATTCATTAAACAATGACTTAAGAAAAATAAGCACATTATCATTTAGCATGTTTAAATTTAATCACCATTTTAAAAGTCTTATAATCGATTCGCATGTAAACACGTAATAGCAAGCCCTGCTTTTTAACTAAATAAACTATAACTACATAAGCATGCAATACTGTCAATCTCAACTCTAACTCAACCTGGGTCAACCCTACCCGTCGTCCTTGGGTTTTCGAACCTAAAGCTCTGATACCAATTTTGTAACGACCCAAACCGGGGTCAACTAAGGGCAATTCCGTCATTTCCTATGCTCACAGGGGATACTCAGATCATTCAAGGGTCCAGAGTCATTCTAAAACACAGCTTAGAAGGAGAAGTCAAAGTACAGGTCAATGGATAAGGTCAGCCAGCTGATGGAGAGGTTAACCAAGTCAATGGAAGGATCAGCCGGGTCAATGGAAAGGTCAGCCGGCTGAGAATGCATGGTCGGCCCGACTGAGATAGTCAGTCGGCCGAAACGACTCCCAAAGCTGCTCACTCTCGAGACTTTGGTAAAATGATCCTTCAGCCGACTAAAAGTAAGGTTCGGCCGGCTGAAATGATCTCCAAAATTGTTTACTCCCGGGACTTCTCAAAAATGAAGTGTCGGCCGGCTGGTGATGAAGTGTCGGCCGACTGATGATGGAGTTTCGGTCGACCGATGGTGAGGTTCGGTTGGCCGAAATAAGACTTCTCAACTACACAACTCAATGGAATGGTCTCGAGATGCCTGTCAGTCGGCTGACATGCCTTGCCAGTCGGCTAATGAGCCCTGGAATGCAGCTATGTGCAGCCTGAATGTTTAAAAACTCTAGGCTCTTTGTGAGCCAAACCGAGTGCCCAACCTATCCCAACCTCACAACAATAATGATACACATCATGAGTCATCATCATCAATGAAATTAATCAAATAACCCATAGTCATCTCACCCATCCCAATAAACCATCATGATTATTACATACTTCCATAGCCATACACAAAATACATCAAATTGTTGTCTAAAAATACGGATACATTGTCAAATTATAACAATAAAACGATTACATAGAATTGTTTAAGATTCACAAAATATATATCTTAATACAATGTGATATAAGTCCAACCCCATCCGTGTTCGTGGAAGCTCAACACCCACCAGCTCAATCCCGTGACCTGAAAAATTGTAGAGGAGTGAGCACAACGGCTCAATTGAGATTGCCTAAGTGGCACCTCCTCAAACAAAGTAAGTAATTTAATGCCTTACACACAATGAATGGGTAAAATGAGTGGGGTCATGCGAGGGATTTC